CATGCTTTGACAAAGGCAAAACCTTTACACAATGTGATTGAAAAACACTACCTCAAAAGCGCCCGTGCAAGTTGTGATGGTAGTCCAAACAGTAGAATCATATGTATACTGTGGCAAATAATACACATTTGATCAGTGTCCTAGCAATCCGACTTCAATCCTTTATATGAGGGACCAAATTAGTAAAAAAAAACCGGTTCTCAAATACATACAACCCAAGATTAATAAACCACCAAAATATTAATGGAAGAATTCAAACGCACTCAATTTGCTAGGGCAACCAAAAACTAATTATCCTCCAAAATTTAGTGTTGAATAGGGGAAAATGTCATTTAATGGTGATGGAAGCGTCCCTGATTACTTATCCATAATAGAGTTTCGAATCAGGAAGTGGAAAATAACCAAATAAATTATGCAATCCTAAACGAACAACTATTAAGTGTGAACAGCAGAAAGGAGAAAAATGCTCCATGGTGTGCTCTGTCATCAAGCTATTGTTGTACCCAAATGCTACATCAAAATGTTCTGATACCCAATTGTTGTAGCGGTGGTGGAAGCAAGATTGATCGTACTCGCACATTCACAAACAGAAATAAACAAAGAGACATAAAGATTTACGTAGTTTGGAGAGAAGAAATTCTCCTCTATCCACGGGTAATAGCCAATTACTATAATCACAGTGTTTACAAGTGTATCTCTCGTAATCTCCCACTACAAACCTCTCTTACAAAATTCCTCTCAAGTCGCCTCTAGGCAAATACAAAATGACAAAGACTCTACGTCTCAAAACAATTCTAGACAAGCCTTTGTATAGGCATAGCCGTACTAATTCTCATACATTAACTAAAACAATGTTAATATTAGTGCTCATTACATGAATCAAGATGATTCAAGTATCAAAATAGAAATGAACCAAAAGAGTTTAACCAAATAAATTAGAGTTATGAACCAAACAAATGAGAGTTATGAACCAAAATAAATGACTTCAGGACAATTTACAACAGCTACATCCCTCATCCAATATCCTTAACTATGTTAATTCATGTGTAGCACCTAATTCTGCTTCAGCGTACTTTAGGTATTATTGTTTATATTTCTTTAGTTTTTACTATTTTAGCGAAATCAACAAACCCATTATTGATGTTACCCGTACTTGACTTGTAGTTCTCAATTGATTGAGTAAATAATTCAATAAACTCTATGTGGAATCGATAATTTACTTATTACATGCTACTTATGATAGTGTTTACTTGCACTTATACTTGTGAACTTCTCTACCATTTTTCTATACATCTTCACAAACAGGTGTATGAATCCCTTGTCCATAGCTCCTAGATCTACAACTGGTATGGAACGGTAGAGATAGAGGCAATTCTTGGCTCAAGCTCAATCTTGAACTCTATGTCACGCTTTGGAGGTAAATTGGAGAGATCGTTTGAAATACATCTAAAAATTTTAAAAAATTTCTCACCGTGGCACCGCATCGATGTTTGTCTCAATGCATTCGATTTCCACATTACGAGCCAATAGTCCGTAAGTACCTTGAGAGAGCAACTTTTTGGCTTTTAAGGTTTGGGAATATTTTAGAGAGTGCTTCTATTCTAGATCATTTGAATTAGAAGCTTGTCGAACACCACTTCCTCGTTAAAGCAATCAATACACATATGATTCTTTGCTAACTATTCCATTCCTAAGACGACGTCAAAATTTGCAATGTCCAAAACTATTTGTGTCACATCCACTACGCGGTTTGACACATATACTTGATAGTCTTTTACTTACTTAGAGGCTTCCATGCTCACCCCTACCGAAGTGATTACAGAGAATAAAATGGTTTAGTTTCACTAGGAAGGTCCCTTACCTCAAGACTCCACTCTAGAAATTTCAATCTATTGGCCCAAGTGTCCTTAGACCTAACCCTACATTCAACTACCTAACAAATCAACCCGACTTCACATGATTAAAAAAATCACAAGACTTTATTATTTATCGTCCTCTTGGGTAAAGGTTGCATTCGATTTCGTCTTTCTCCAAAAGTACTAAACTTTGTTAGTAGGCACGTTGAACCACCAACTTAGTACTTTGACTACTATATTCACATTAATAGGTAACTATTAGTAATAAGTTGAATCAAAATCCAAGATCAGACTAAATAACAAGTCAAATAAACTAATTGTTTACTCTTCCAAATGGTGGTTCGTGCAGCAACAGCGCGAGTGCGAGCGAGCAGTTGCAATGCGACATTATGATGGTGCGAGATTGTGGGCTCGACTTTATAGCTGAACCTAGGGTTTCACTTTCCTTTCGCATTTTTTTCTAAGCTAGGCTTCCATAACTTGGCTTTTGTTGTTGCTCACATTCTTGGACACTCAAGTAAATGAGAGGTATATAAATGAACCGAGCTTACATCTGAATGAGAGCGATTCTAAGGATAGGATGATAAAGAAATGCTTAAAAGATTTGAAAGCTACTCTCGAACTCACACACTCATTCTAAATTTTAAAATAAAAAAAAAATGTAAATCTTGAATTTCACTCCAAATTAATTTTATCACTTTCGAAGCAAGTCCACCTAATTTTTATATTCTAAAAAAAGGACAAAAAATTATAGTGTTGGTGTGATGACGTGGATTCTCATCAAAATTCAAAATTTTTGTGTGTTTTATTATTAGGTTGTATGGTTTGTTTCCGGTTCGCTAAAACGCGTACACTCCAATTTTCCCCAGCTGTCATCCTTCTGTCGTTCTTCTTTTGACTTTTGACTTTCCCTTTCTCTTTTCATTCTCCGCCTTCATTATATAATTTTATTTTAAAATATTTTATTTTATTCAACCTTGTCGATGGTAGGGAGGGAAATTTCTACTGTGTCTACGATCGTCATCGAGCACAATTGAGGCCGTTGAAGAAAGAAACGGAAACGAAGAAAAGTAGGGTTGGATAAACTAGTTCGATCGATATAGTTTCAGTTTAGGTTGGACCAGTTCAATTCGATTAAGTTAAACGGGTTGTCAACCTAGTCTAATTACATCCGTTTCATCCAACGTAATCGAATTAGTCCATCTTTTTCGTTTCTAGAGTCGATTTCAACTCTATTAATATTTATTGTTGATTTTAGAGCTTAATTAGGAGATCATGGAGAATTTGAAGGGAAAAAAAATGCCCTAATTTTACTTTGAATCAAACTAATCTCTATGAAGTATTTAGATTGACAATGTTCGTGTAGGATGAGAGTTAGTAGCTATGAGGTCACATGAGTTATTGCGAGGTCACTTCTTGATCGTATATGGTAAGATTCTACTAGGGTCATGCCTTAACGATAGCGATATCACTCCTTACATGTATGCGATGTGATTCTATTAGGGTTATGTTTTAATGGTTTCGAGGTCACTCTGACTATAGTAGGTATGTGGCGTAACGTTTGCAAGGTCACTCTTTGCATATATAATATATATGATGAGATTCTAAAGGGTTATGCCCTACACAATGCGGGCATACATATAGGGTCGGGTCGTACTCTAAGTATATGTGCTATATTATTCTATAAGTACTACTTAAAAATTGTTCAAAATAGTTACTTACCTGTTCGAAAAATTTGGAGCTTCGTTCTCCCCTTAGGTGTGTCTGGATTTTGTGGAACTTCAAATAGGTCCTAAATCAAGTCAAAATACGGAATTTTGTTAAGCATCCACATCAATGTATCTAATAAAATTTTAAATTTTTTACAAAATTTTATCTCATAATATTGTTTACAAAGGTGCGAACTTGGAGTGTGTTTGTGGAGGTTCGAGAAGGCGACCAAGAAGAATATCATTGGAACCCACGGAAGAACTTAGTTGTCCAATAAAAATTGGATTCATGTAACAAGAGAAATGTTTCTCGTTCTTTAATCCTATTAGAAAGGCGGGTCTGCTATAAATTCTACCGGCCAGAAAGTCTGAATGAATACAAAAACTGATCAAAAGGCTATTCTATAACCGACTCTTGTTGTCGAATCGAAAGGGCAACCCCCCAAGGTCGATCTTGGCTTCCCTCATATAACCAATCCTTGCACTACCTAATAATCAACTCCATTTCTTGCAGCTTGCATCGACTATCTTATATCGATTTGACTTTTTGCCCTTAAATAGTGCGAATACCTCATTACCCGCGCATCTCTGCAGCTTGTCTGTGACTCATTTCCTATTTGTTCGTCACATTTTTTTTAATCACCTTCGTGTAGTGTTGAGTTCTGGGGTTCTCTCCCTCTCACCCTAGGCCTCCATTGCACGCTATACGATGACATCCATAATCTCAAAGTCTTAGATCTGCTCACCATGGGTTTCGATTGATCCTCCTCCACGTTCTCCGATCTTCCTCACACTTCGGGTTGACAATCTTCTCTACTCTTGATCAATCGTCAAATAATCACAAAACACAATTTATTTGACTCCAACATTCCAGTTAATATTAAGCAAATCACGCATTTAATAGAAGATTAATACACATGTGAAAATTAGCTGCGACACCTAAATAAAAAGGAGGTACATGAATGAACAGAAATCTCATTTGAATGAAAAATTCTATAGATAGAATGGCTAATAAATATTTTTTAAAAAAAGTTAAATTAATACAGGTACTAACAAAATGCAAATTCTTTTACCTGCCAAATCCAATTTGAGTCTAGATTTCAAAGCTCAAATAATTAAAAAAAAATATATATATATATATATATATATATGTTATTGTGGTACGAACTTTAATACTACGTTTCTATCCTTCTCGGCGTGGGGCGGCCTAACAAAAACGGAAGTTTCAAACGTGTAAGGAGTTGACAGCTCCACCGGAACTTTCAACTGCAAATTCCTTTGCCCAAAAAATAATAATTAAAAAGAAAAAAGAAATTGCGTATTTAAACCCACTCCCCTTCTTCTTCTTCCATTTCTCATTCTCAATCTCACACCAAAAGTTTCAGAAACCAATTCTCTCACAGGTAACGCCTTCCACTCTCCTCTCTTTCAATCCCCCTCAAACCTCCTCCTGATTCATTCTTTCTCTTCGGAAATTCTATTTTTCTCCTCCTTCTCTTCCTGTTCTTCAATCGGATCCCTTTCTTGTTGCGTGTTTTCGTTTTTGATCTGTGATTTCTTTCTACTTCTTGCTCCTCCTGTTGCACTTTGACTATCATTCATCCCAGATCTGGCTTCATTCTGTGTTTTTTGCTTTTAAATTGTTTCTTCACTGCTGTCGGTTGTTTCCTCATCTCAGATCTTCGGGCCTTTGTTTCCTGATCTCAGATAGCTGGTTACGACGTATTTGCATGTCGTTTTTTTTTTACTGCAATTACTTTTGACGACCTGTGTCCTGTATGCTGATTTGGTTTTTTTTCTTCCTTATTTGACATTCGTTGAGATTGGATTGAGATGTCACTTCCTTTCTGTTCTTTAAATTTTACTCCTAACAGATACATACACGTTTGGAGATTCTGTTACGGTTGCATTCAGGGTGATTTCTGTTCGATTCTATATCGAGATCTTCGTTTAGATAGCCATAAGAATGAAGTAGAATTTGCAAGCGAAGTCGTGTTCTTCAAATCGTCTAGGTTCAATGAATTTTTCCTTCAGGATTGAGAAATTCTCTTTTCTGATGTGTTTTTATTCATGTGGTAGTGGTGTAGAATGATTTTCGGTGGAGACTTTGTGACTTTTTCTTAGTTTTTGTTTTCATTCCCCTTATATTGCAACCTCTATTTGTACAGGTTATAAACTGAAAAAGCCAAAATGGTAAAGATCTGCTGCATTGGTGCTGGATATGTTGGAGGGCCTACGATGGCTGTTATTGCACTGAAGTGCCCAACCATTGAAGTGGTTGTTGTGGATATCGCTGTGTCTCGGATCAATGCCTGGAACAGTGACCAGCTCCCGATCTACGAGCCAGGTCTTGATGGAGTCGTGAAGGAGTGCCGAGGCAGGAATCTCTTCTTCAGCACTGATGTGGAGAAGCATGTCTCTGAGGCTGATATTGTTTTTGTTTCTGTCAACACTCCCACAAAAACTAGGGGTCTCGGAGCTGGTAAAGCTGCAGATCTCACATATTGGGAGAGTGCTGCTCGTATGATAGCCGATGTATCCAAATCTGACAAGATTGTAGTTGAAAAATCGACTGTCCCAGTGAAAACTGCTGAGGCAATTGAAAAAATCCTTACCCACAACAGCAAAGGAATAAAATTCCAAATTCTCTCGAACCCTGAATTCCTTGCTGAGGGAACTGCAATTAAGGATCTGTTTAACCCGGACCGTGTCCTCATTGGAGGGAGGGAGACTCCAGAGGGTCAGAAGGCAATCAATAAACTGAAGTCTGTTTACGCTCATTGGGTACCCGAAAATCGGATTCTCACTACTAATCTTTGGTCTGCTGAGCTCTCCAAGCTTGCTGCTAATGCCTTCTTGGCTCAGAGAATATCATCTGTTAATGCCATTTCAGCTCTCTGTGAAGCCACTGGTGCAGATGTTGCACAGGTAGCCTATTCCGTTGGCACAGATTCGAGAATTGGACCCAAGTTCCTCAACGCCAGTGTCGGTTTTGGTGGGTCTTGCTTCCAGAAGGATATCTTAAATCTGGTGTACATCTGTGAGTGCAATGGCCTTCCAGAGGTAGCTGAGTACTGGAAACAGGTGATCAAGATCAACGATTACCAGAAGAACCGTTTTGTTAACAGGGTTGTTGCCTCTATGTTCAACACGGTTTCGAACAAGAAGATTGCCATTCTCGGTTTTGCTTTCAAGAAAGATACTGGTGACACAAGGGAGACCCCTGCAATCGATGTGTGCAAGGGACTCTTGGGAGACAAGGCGCTGTTGAGCATCTACGATCCACAAGTCTCCGAGGATCAGATCCAGAGGGACCTCACACTCAGCAAGTTCGAATGGGACCATCCTACTCATCTCCAGCCAATGAGCCCCACAACCGTTAAGCAAGTGAGCGTCGTCTGGGACGCCTATGAAGCAACAAAAGAAGCTCATGCAGTCTGCATCCTAACGGAGTGGGACGAGTTCAAGAACCTGGACTACCAGAGGATATACAACAACATGCAGAAACCTGCATTCATCTTCGATGGGCGAAATGTGGTTGATGGAGACAAGCTTCGTGCGATTGGTTTCATTGTCTTCTCCATCGGAAAGCCTCTTGACCAGTGGCTGAAGGACATGCCCGCGGTGGCTTAGATTTGCAGGTCGGGATCCCTTCAATGGCTTTTCTTCCTCTTCGTAAGGACACAAAACAAGCAGTTGGATTCTGTTCCCATATTGTTAATGTATTTTTGTTGGTGTTTTCTTTGATTCTCATATCATATCTCTTGCCTGAACTTCTGAAGGTTCGAGACCCCATTCGTTTTGCCTTCACAATTGTCCTCGAACCTGTCGGTTATCTTCCCATAAAATTTTTTGTTAGAAATTTCATTACATTTATATTTGTTTGTGTTTTAGATCCCATAAACCACCATCATACATATGGAATGAACCTGTTGTAGATTCTTCATTTCGAAGACTTCCTTTTTTTTTTTCTTACCTGCAACTTGATGATTGTTTCAACCAATAACAGAATTATTACGTCCCATTGATTTTAAAAACTGTTTTATTTTTCAACCTCAACTTCGAAATTTTAGTCTCACAAATCAAATATTTGTTTAATTCCGGGAAAAAAAATTGATATTTTGCTTGTTGATCTTTGAACTTTCAGTTTTTTTTTTTTTTTTTTTTTTTTTTTTTTTTTTTTTTTTTTTTTTTTTTTTTTTT